ACTCGGACTCGACTCTCTTTGGTCTCTGTCTCGACTCGGACTCGACTCTCTTTGGTCTCAGTCTCGACTCGGACTCGACTCTCTATGGTCTCGGACTCGACTCTCTTTGGTCTTGATTCGGTCTCGACTCTCTTTGGTCTCGGTCTTGACTCGACTCTCTTTTGTCTCTGCTCGGTCTCGACTCTCTATGGTCTCGGTCTCGACTCGGACTCGACTCTCTTTGGTCTTGATTCGGTCTCGACCTCGACTCGACTCTCTTTGGTCTCGGTCTTGACTCGACTCTCTTTTGTCTCTGCTCGGTCTCGACTCTCTTTGGTCTCGGTCTCGACTCGGACTCGACTCTTTGTGGTCTCGGTCTTGACTCGGACTCGACTCTGTGGTCTCGGTCTCGTCTCGGACTCGACTCTCTTTGGTCTCGGTCTCGACTCTCTTTGGTCTCGGTCTCGACTCGGACTCGACTCTCTTTGGTGTCAGTGTCGACTCGGACTCGACTCTTTGTGGTCTCGGTCTTGACTCGGACTCGACTCTGTGGTCTCGGTCTCGACTCGGACTCGACTCTCTTTGGTCTTGGTCTCGACTCGGACTCGACTCTCTTTGGTGTCGGTGTCGACTCGGACTTGACTCTTTGTGGTCTCGGTCTTGACTCGGACTCGACTCTGGTCTCGGTCTCGACTCGGACTCGACTCTCTATGGTCTCGGTCTCGACTCGGACTCGACTCTCTTTGGTCTTGGTCTAACTCAGACTCGACTCTCTTGTGTCTCGATTAGGTTTCGACTCTTTTTGGTCTCGGTCTCGACTCAACACTTTGGTTTTGGTCTCGGTCTCGACTCGGACTCGACTCTCTTTGGTCAAGGTCTCAACTCAGACTCGAGTGAGCTGGTCTCGACTACAACACTGGTGAAGTGTGTCCACACTGCTGACATATTTACCTATTGTAGCTTATCGACATTGTGTACATGAAGTAGACATTCATAGTCAAAATTTGGCATTGGAGAAGCGCTAACGGTTTTGGTCAATGATTTAGGTTAAAATGGCTTTTTTTCTGGCTTCTGCTATTTTCAGTTGACTAAATGTTGGTGCATCTCTAGAAAAAGTTATTGAAGAAAAAAGATCATATCGTAGACTACTATAGACTCATCTACTTCTGTAGTTCTCATTCAGAGTGGCTTTCAGTGAATAAAATACAAAGCAAATGAGGAAAATAATGACAAACGCCTGTAAATAATAAATGTCACCATAAGTGGCAGAAAACTAGGCAAAGGAGAACAGGAAACCAATGAATACAAACTAGAAGTCCATTAAAAAAACAATGAAATATCTGACAAATGCATTACGATAAAACCCTTTATGAGTGGTTCTGAATGTCATGTTTTCAGTTATAGGTGGCATATGTATTTTATCTAAACAGATTTGGTCACAAATATTGTATAGAACTTGACAAATATTCCGTTTTTTAGGAAAGCGTTCTCTCGAAGCAGAGCCCGTCTTTGAGGTTTCCAGAGGTTGATAAGGTGACAGGCTCCTTTCTGCAGTTGTCTGGCAAAGTTGTCACTAGCTGAACATCACTCTGACGGCTTTCATACGCTTTTTGATTATTAATTCATTGCCGTTTGCCTGGTTTGTTTGTTAAGTGTTCTCCCTAGGTGACTATATACCTTGAATCGAGATGTTTGGAAAAGGCTGCCTCCATTCAATAATAATTCATCCATCTATTGCCTATAAGTAAAAAAGAAAAATTGCTATAATAAAAACAGCTTGGCTAATATTAAAATGGATGAGCCGCTGCTGGTAATACCTGCAACCTCAAATATATGTAAAACTTTTATCAGCGCTATTTACTGTAAATCACCTAAAGCGCTCTCAGAATAGATAAAAATGTAATCATATATTTGTGTCTTTCCATTTGAGATGAAGGAATCCATTCACCAGCGCAGTCTCGCTTTCCCAGCCATTATTCAACTACAAAGCAAACCATATTCATCATTGTGTTTTAATCACATCAAAAAGAAATATAGTGCTACCCCAGGGTGCTGGCAGGAATATGGAGTCCTCCATGATGTTATTGTTTCCAGCACTGCCAAACAATCTCAAAAATTGACTTAGAATAAATGTATTTTTAATATGATAACTCAACCCTTGTGAATACAGAGGCACTCTGTCAATTGTTCTTGCTGAATGCTTTGCTTTACAGATGTAATGCGGGAGTGCTTGTGATATAGCGATATTAAACCTGCGAGCGCTGCCTTTCAAACTTTGTTCCGGCTTCCCGGATAACATTCTCTTTCCTTCAGCTTAACTAAATGCTCTAACAGATGAGATGAATGCATTAGTTTACAAAGTCAGTGTGTTGCAGCAAATGCTACGTGTGTTCCTCGCGGTGTAAAGATGCGCGCTAATCTCATCTCGGATGCACTTTTCGTGCACTTTATATTAATGTGATTTCAGCTCAGTGCTGTTTAAAGAATATACCTACACGAAATAATGCAATCAGACAGAAAAGTACAGATGAACTGATTATGAGTGGAGAAGACTGGGCTATTTGTCTCAGTTTGGGATCTTGTCAGAATGTCTCGGAGTAGCCCATCACTGCCATCTTGTTTTGCTTGGTTTCTCTAGTGGTTTTTGTCAACACCCATGTGCAAAAGTGCATTAACCAGAAGGATTGTTGTTAATTCCATCCTCCAGACATCATCATATCATAAAATTTCAAGATGATATTCACTAAACTCAAATAAGTTGGCCAAACTCAAAACTCATTCTTAATTGCTCTTAACTTAAAGTATTTGAGTAAGGGACTTTGTTTAATTTTAAATGATTTGTTCCAGAAATATTTTTTGTTATGCTGCTTAAAGGTCTCTTCATATCCTGATAACAATCACTTAGGTGGTCTAAATGTGTGTGTGTATATATATATATATATATATATATATATATATATATATATATATATATATATATATAAAATGATTATATATATATATATAAAATGGTCTGTGGAAGGCATAGACCATAAAATGTTCCTCCAACCATTGCATTTGAACCAAAACATACATGGTCCTATAGCCTTCCACATGATTTAAGATGAGCCTATACTCAAAGTAATTAATTATTTTGACTATTAGGGTTTACATTTTTACACTTAGCTACATCCAGTTTACACTTGGATATATTACAAGAATTTCAACAGAAAGGCTGAAAAGAAAAGGATGAGTATTTTTCATAAACATCAGGATGGTGCACATTTTTATTGGGGCAGATTGTCACATGTTTGATTTTTTTTCTTTTATGGTTCTGTATCTTAATGGTTTTGTTTACACGTGTTTCCTTTAAAGTGTATAATAGGTCATTTCATTTCCTTGGAATTCACACATTTTCAGTGACTTGGATTTAAGGACCAAAACTAGCTCCGAACTCCCGTACATGCTTTCATTATATTGTAGACAAACTATATTTCAATTATTAACATGCTTCTTTTATTAGCGAGGCATTATTAGCCTATGCTCAAATGAATTCACTTCACACGCGCAAAACAATCAGAACTGGTATTTCTGCCCATTACAAACAGGCTGTATTGTTTCCTGTCTCCAGGTGTAGGCTACTAAATTATTCACAGTCTTTGATGTAAATAAGCAAACACACAAAGACGATGTGAGACGACATGTCTTAATTAGCCAATCATCCGTCGGGCCAGCGTTACCCGCGCGCGAGGCTCTCGCCGGATGTGGCGCGTCGACGGCGGCCTCGTGGCGTTATTTGCGCGCGAGGACTGCAGTTGCTCTGGGACTCCGAGGCTCCTAATGATGCTTTCAATTAAAGACGAGCCCTGAGGCTGGAGCAGCTGTCTGTTTAAAACGCCTCCTCTCCGAGCCGTGCGGGACTGCTTGAGTCAATATTATTTTAGAGACTACCTCCCATCTATTATTAAGTAAATTGAGCCATCAGCGTAACTGGCCATTTTCAACCCTAAATGAAATCTATTTGCCAAAGGCCTGGAGGACTGTCAGAGTGTAATACAATCATACAGCGGAGGGCGTGCTTGTTAGGAGAATGAATGATAACTGCAAGAATAATTCACCCTTAAATGGGAATCACGCTGTTTAACGCTTCTCAACTGTGTTGCTTGAGCACTCAGATTTTACTTTGCACACTAGTGTGACCAATATTGCTATATTATAGGCCTACAAAAAACCTGTTTATATGGATGCAAGTTACTTTTTTTTCATGGTTTCAAAAGACATCACCTCTTTCCATCTGCAAAATTGGACTATTTGGACTCTTATAGCTTCAACGAATGACAGATGGATTTGCCACAAATTGTTGATTTGATTGGAAAGTGCATCGACAACACATGGAAATATGTAAGTCGTGCATTTTTGCACAATTATGGTTAAGTTGCATTTAAATTCACATTAGCATCCTTTCCTGCTGTTTGAGAATAGATCTGACCAGTTGAGAACTCAGTGCTAACCTCTCAATGGGAACCAGTATAAATGAAAATAAACATGTAAAAAATGCCAATCGTGGTTTAAGTCCAGAAGAGTTGGGTTCATCAACGGCCTGTTTACTGCCGGAACGCAGTCCCTCAGTCCCCATCGATCGGCTCCAGTCCAGATCAATGCTTGTAAAAGCCATCCTTTAGTTGCGAGCGGAAGCGCGCACGCAACACAACGCCACACCTGTGATCAACAGTGCACGAGCTTTTCACAGATCTGCTCTCACTCTATAAGGACTGTCCACTATTCATACACTGATATGTATGACACACTCTTAAATTAAACCTTCCAAAATGTTTTTTTCTTCTTATTTTTTGCAGAGGTGCCAATTGGAACCATTTATTTCTCTGTGTGAAGAACATTTTTTTTAAAAAAAATCTAAAGAATCGTTTCCCACTCTTGTGGAAAGAGTCCATGTTCAAGTTCGTCATGAGAACATCAATGTCATCAAAGAACTCCTCGTTTATTTTTAAGAATGTGGGGATATAGATATTTTCACAAGGAAATGCATTGTTGTCAGTGCAAGTCTATTTTTGAGAGTAAAAACATTTCTATCAAACTTGTTTTGTAAAGTTATCATAATTCTCTTGTCATATCCCTGAAAAAAATGATGTATCCCTGATGTAGGCTATACAGTATCAGTGCCAGTTGAAGAAGAAAAGTATTTTACAAAGAAAGAGTAATTGATTAAAAACACGCGTCATGTTATTAAAACGAAAGCTAGCATAGCATTGCCTCATAGCATGTTAAACAGCTGGCATTAAACAGAGCTGAAAGATATATTAGAAATAAGTGTTTCAGCTGTGCGCTCAGAACCCATTTTACAGCAATTACTGGGGATATTTTGTGTTTACACATCTAGAAAAGAGACAGAAAGAAAACTCATCTCCAGCTGGCCTAAACCCCCTTGTAAAGCAATGAAAGGATAAAATGACTGTGTTGAATGTGACATTGGTCACAAGATGATTGGATAGTTTGGCCGGAGCTTCTTCAGTTACAAAGCTTTGAATTCACTGAATTGTGAAATAGCATTGCGCCCGTATAAATATACACCCTAACTTCGAATTTACTGGAGGGATTAGAGAGCTTTTCAAGTCCTCGCTGCCTCTTTTCATGGTTTTGTGTACAAAAGCGTTGTAAGCCACGGGCCCGAGTCGCTTCTCTGATGTTTGTTGATGTCGGACTGCAGGAATGAGGAATCTCGGCTAATCCTGTCATTCTTGCAAAGAGTTTACTAAATTTTGAATTTACACATTTAATACCTTTTAAAATGGTCTTTGAACATTTTAGCCCCTAGCTCGCTCGTTTCGCTTTGCCGGAAAAAAGCAACACAATTTTCACGAGAAGAGCATAAATTTAATATCTCCTCCACTTAAGAGTACTATAATCCCCCTGGAATAAATGTTGACTTGTGCTATTTAAATTTACAATTCATCCTGTGTATTATGCCTGCAGGAGGCGACGGTTATACGCTTGTTGAGTGTTTTCTGTGAGGTCCATGTGACCAGTTGAGAGCAAATCAGGAAGGCACTGCACACCATTCTGAAGAACAGATGATAGAATAATCCGTAAGGGGTCAGAATATGATGATATGAAGAATAGCTTGGCTGCAAAAAAAAAAAAAAAAACAAATTCCAGCTACTAAATGTTCTTGCCTGATGTCTTCAGAGCATGTTATGATGATGCCAACCCTGTAGTTCCTCTTCTGTTCCATACAAAAACACCTCACACATCTATATTTCAAAATCTCTTCATATAACGGGTGTGAAGTTTCAAGAGAACATATGCACAAATAAAATACGTCATTCATATGCATTTGGAAATTTGCATTTTTCGCAAAAGTAGATTTAGCAGAATGGCACACTCATTTTAACAGCTGATTGAGATTACAAAAAAAAAATCTTTTAAATTAGTACTTTGGCCTCTTGCACAAATATTTTACAATAGATATATAAAGAAAACAAATATTTCAATACCATTTCCTTTTTAAATATTAAAAAAGTTGTTTGCTTTATCATTTGCCCTTCGTCACACTGACAAATCCCGTTGAAACCAGAAATGATGTATAATAACAGCCAGCGCTACACATTCGGCCTCCGGTGCTGAAACGCGAGATCTTTGCTCATGTCCTGCGTCAGTTTGCTGTCTCTCGCTCTGTGTAACGCAGTCTGGTTAATCCCGTTCAGAAGCGTTGAGTTTGACGCGGAGCCGTTCAGCGCTCCGAACGCGCCGTAGTACGTGAATCCCCCGTAGAACGGAGACGTGTAGTAGAAGCGCGTAGGGGGGAAAGGGCACTGCGCGAGGGACCCGGCGGGCGACGACGCGTCGGCTCTCTTATCCGAGGTAGCGATTTCAGCGAGAGACCACAGCTTGGGTTTAGGGGTCGGGGCCGCGGAATGAATGACAGAGGTGGCGTTGCAGTTTTCACTGACGGCCGTCTTGCTTTCACTCAGCTCGTTTTGGGGAGAGGAGGTCGTGGGCACCGGAGACTCAGAGACTGTCCGATTCTCCTCTTCCTCACAGTCGATGATGACGCTATCCGTCGCGTCGTCGCGATCACCCGCGCGCTCGTCGCCAACTGCGATGGAATGGCAAAATATTAATGGAATGGTTAATATTATAAATAACACAAAACAACAACAGATGCTCTTTTCCCCCCGGAATCAATCGAGTTATTAAAAATAGGCTACAATAAAAGTATGCTTTAAATATTGGTGTAAGGGAGGTAAAGATTTATGTGAAGGCAAAAAAAAAAAAAAAAGGTCTAAAACTTTTCAGGAAAAAAAAGTGTCATTAAAAGCCTGCAAATCAATTTTTTTATTTGTTTTGTATTCAAATATTGTTATTGTGGGCTATTTGTTATAGGCTATTAGGCCTAGGCTATATAAATGTTCAATATGAATTGTCACTAAACGTCGCGTGACAAGAAGACATGAGGAAGAAATAAAACAGGAAATTGTATTTTACAGAAAACCCCTGTAGACCCTCGAGTTTGTCAAGGTCATCGATTATTAATGTTTAAGAAATTGTTCATGAAAAGGCACTAAATATTAAAACCTATTATTCATGACCCACAAGTTCCAAAAGTTCATTATTATAGCCTAATGTTTGTGAAAATAATGATTGAGCTCTCATTATAAATAATGTATTGCACTCATGTGTAGGCTATTCACGCATGGTGCAATAAGTGTAGCCTATTTCCCTTTTAACTTATCTCATACAACCTTATTAGTCACTGACATATGTTCAAAAATAATATTTCATATTTCATACGACATGTAAAAACAACACAAGCACGCGCACATAATGATGGGGGAATGAACACCTGCATCTTTGGTCGTCTGTGTTGTTTCGGCTGTTTTGAGCGGTTCATCGTCTTCATCATTCTTCTCTAAATCAATACTATCCTCCTCATCTTCATCCTCACTCCTGTTCCGTGGCGTCCACGTCATTTTGTTCTCTTTCTTCAGTCTCCTCCGGGCGTTGGCGAACCAGGTGGACACCTGAGTGAGGGTCATTTTAGTGATGATGGCCAGCATGATCTTCTCGCCCTTGGTGGGATAAGGGTTTTTCCTGTGTTCGCTGAGCCAGGCCTTCAGGGTGGCGGTGGCGTCGCGCGTCGCGTTCTTCCGGTACGCGGGGTCTCCGAACGGGTACGCGCCCAGGGGACCGGCGTACGGGTGATAGCCGATGGAGCCCGCCATGCCCGGAGAAGACTCAAATGGGGAGCCCTGGGCAAGGAATTCATGAATAAAGATTACATCGAGGAGGAAAGCACAAATGTGACATGCTTCTGGAATATTAACCGAACGTGATAAAAATGAACTTAATCACACAATGATCTGAAGCATGTTAAGCTTCCCAGTAAGCAAAACTAAATGAAAACAATTAATATTCAGATGGATAGAATGTAAATTTCGCAATTAGCTAATTCACACTATTCGTTAACAATATTTTGAAGGTTTTGTTCACTGCGTTTAATGAAATTTTAAAGTGGAAAAAAAATGTAAGCAAATTAATCTACTTTGATAAAAGGTAAAAATAATAATAATTTTGGCGTCGTAAAAAACACTTTATAGATATCTACATGTTTAAGTGCACTAAAGGTAAAAAAAACCCAATGTGACTGTAGGAACTGGAATGCATAATCATTAAAAAAAATAATAATAATAAACACTGCTGAAATATCTGCTGACTGCTGAAATATCATTGACAAACATCTTTATTGAAGTAAACTCACCCCGTATGAAGTGAAGGGGGCGGTGGACTCGGGACTGTACTGGAGGGAGTTGAAGAGTGCAGTGTTTGTGAAGGATGAAGACGCGTACGGGGCGAAGGCGGATCCGCTAGAGGAGCGTCCCAGATCATCAGCCCGCGCTCCCGGGACCGCGCCGGGGCCGTACGGGGGACACGAGTACAGAGACAGCGAAGACTGGTACAAGTATCCCTGTGGAAACGCCATGACCAGATCACTGCCACAGTCTCCTCACGAGCCCGGGAGCCAACACACTCATCCTATGAGCCATCGAGGGGGAAACGATCAAACATGCAAAGTGGATCGACTCCTGATATAACGAGCAGCGAGCAGTGAGAAAGTGTCTTCGGTTACCGGCAGAAGAATCTCGAGGTCCGCGCGCTTCCTCAAGGAGAGGGAAAGAAAAGCTCAAGCTGACTTTTCCTCTCTCTCTCTCTCTCTCTCTCTCTCTCTCTCTCTCTCTCTCTCTCTCTCTCTCTCTCTCTCTCTCTCTCTCTCTCTCTCAAGCGCAAGTTTGGTTGCTACGCATCTTTTCTAAACATCTCACGTATAGCCGATATAAAGTTAAAAACAAGTGCAGTTCACTCGGACACATTCTTGAAGCCGTTCGCTGTTAATCATTTAAAAAAAAAAAAAAAAAAAAAAAAAAAACATCTAGCCTACGTAAAGTGAACTTTCTGTTTTTTTTTAGCACTACCATAACAGAATAACATTCACTTTGTAAAAACAGGTTTCGGGACACATGCATGTGCACCGGGGCTAAAGATGCACCGGGGTAAAAATGCACCGGGGCAAAAGATGCACCGTGGCATGCACTGGGGCTAAAGATGAACCGGGGTAAAATAATGCACCAGGGCTAAATATGCACCGGGCTAAAGATGCACCGGGGTAAAAGGCTCCTTGATGTGATTTCCTCTAAACCACTAGATGGCAGAACAACTTTCCGAAACACCCACTTTTCAAGACGCTGATACTGCGCTAATTTGATCTAATATTTTATGTTTTTTTATATGTTGTAGATTAAATAGCAAATTACAATCGCTAAAATTGACTACATTTTGATAAAAATGTCTTGTTAATGATTTTAGGTTTTGTTCGAGCAATTTAAAGCAAATTTTATCATAAAGAATCCTACTTGTATTTTTGGGTAAAGGCGCCCCTGCTGTTGGGACAGACTGTTGCTGTCATGAAAACTATCAAGATGGTAAATATTATGTATTATATAAATAAGTGGTGTCCACATAGAGATAATCATCATGAAACCATCATATTTAAAAAAATATATGACATTAATCATAAAATATGATTTAATGTTATACTCTAAATCTAAATTTCATTATTTTGGGATTGTATCAGTGCATTCAGAATCTTTACTTTTGAAAATAATTGTGTTACTGTATTTTTAAAATAGACTATAGTTTTATATTAAAATATTTTAATAACAGTAGCCCTATATTTATTGAATAAAAAAATAAAGTATTTGATTTATCAAAATAAGGCCCACCTTCTCATTTATAAGATTGTTAAAACAAAATAAACCACTTTTATGATTTATTTTCACAAAAAACTGTTGCTCAATAAATGTTCAATATAAACATATTTTGTTCTGCAATCACAGGTGAGCCTTTAGCCCAGTTGCAGCCTGCTGGTCCATTCTGCTGCGCCAACTGGTTTTGAAATCATGTGAACGGTTAAGAGTAATAATAATAATAATAATAATAATAATAATAAAACGGCCTCAAAGGTGTTCTGATCTCCATGCGTTCAGTTATAATTCTTGCTATTCTTGGACGTGATAACTTTTCCGTGTGAACGGATCTAGCCGGCTATATATATATATATATATATATATATATATATATATATATATATATATATATATATATATATATAATTCCTTTAAAGAGAGTAGCAGTATTTTAGTTCATTTTTAGATTAGTCCATTTATTCTGTAGTTTACGGTGATCAACATAATTCTGTGCCCAGCGAATCTGTGTGATCATGGTGCTGTCGTCATCATACCCTATCCCAACAGTAAACATAACCACTAATATAGGCGTAGGCCTATACGGTGGGTCACAGAATTCGGTATAATACCTGCAATGAGAAATAAAAGATATCATTTCATTATGCAAACTCAACGCTTTATAGTAATATTCTGGAGTGCGCATGTGTGTTTACACTGTCTGAAATCAACGCGGGCAACCAACAGGCCGGCCTATACTGTAACATGTCTTTCCTGGAGTCAGTTGCGCTCGTTGACGCGCGTTCGTGTCGCGTCGCGTTCAGTAGAGGACGCAGGTGAGGTAATCCTCTGAGAGAGCGAGATCCTCTGACATCATGCGCCCAGGAATCCCTCACTGTTAGCCTAAACATGACTTCCACGAACCCGACTGAGGCGGAATGTTGCGACCTCTCGACCGAAGATGGAGGAACACATGATTCTACACAAACGACACACGAGCGAGCTGACACACATCCTGCTGGAACAGGTAAAGAAGCATCTGGAACCGCTCATAATGGTGCTCGGCCAGGGTTTTATTAGTAGACATCCTCTCTTATCTAGACACCTCTCAACAAAACATAGGCCTAAAGGTATCGATTGAATTCATTGAACAATGTAAACATGCAGGGAGGTGACTATAATCTCATTTGCGAGCTCTATTAATAGACCCAAGCGCTTAATGCAGTACTGCTCTGTGTTTGAAGCCTATAAAGCTGGTAATTCATGCAGCAAGCCCTTTAATGGGTTACAACAATGCACTATAACACTTTACATACCACTTGAAACTGGGTGTTGATGCATTATTCTCTTTTATAAAACTATAGGTAAGCATTATGGTTGCAATTACTCACATACACTGTTTTTAGTGTGTATACGAATGCATTCCACACACACACACACACACACACACACACACACACACACACACACACACACACACACACACACACAGAGAGAGAGAGAGAGAGAGAGAGAGAATCATTTAAATGTCTGATAAAGTGAGACTGGAATAGCTCAGTTAACCGGAAAAATACTTTCTCTGCTGGAATATTTAAACATTCTATTATCCCCAAATGTGTCTATTTCACCCTGACACTCAGCAGTTTTAATATAGTTTTTTTTGTTTGTTTTTTTTTTACATTTTTTTAATCAATTTTTATCTAGATGCCAGTTCCATGGACCAACAAAGACCTACTTTTGCAGTGGAGGAAAAGGTAAGCTCAACAGACACACGAATTTACAAGATATATATGTGTTAGTGTGCAATATATGCAATTATATGCACATTTACACTATGTATAGCATAACACAATACACTCCTCTTTCCAACACCACAACCTCTGGCTTCAGATTGTTTTGCAGCCCCAATCCATTCGACAGCTGATGAACCTCTAAAGTGTTACGCTTATCATTCATTTGAAACGTGTGAAAGTGTGATATATGATTTACCTGCAGAGATCCTTGCTTTCTGAACTATAAAAACAATGATATCCTGAAAGTAAATGGACAACCTACATGAAATTAAACCTACACTGTAAAAAAAAGGTAAAACAATATGCTTAACGTAGTAAGATCCAAATTAATTGTATTAGTTAAAAGTGCAAAATATGATTGAATATGATTCAAACGTACTACGTCGGGTTAGACCAACACAAGTATAATGGATCAGACCGGGTAGAAATAGCTGCGCATTTTCACTTTTTACAGTGATAATCGTTTGTCTCGGAAGATTATACTTTTATTCAGAAGGCGTCAATAACTCCAGTGGCTGTAAATGAACATTGATTGAGGATTATGGTGCATGAATAATGCTCTCTTTCCACAAACATCATCAGATTTGATGCATCACAGTCAGTTTTATGGTGATATGACTTCATTAAGCAGATGGATACAGTCTGTTGAATGTTATCTTATATTCTTGGCTGTGGATAAAAATAAAAATAAATTTGTCCTAAAGTTTTAAAAAGTCAACCTGTCCCTGTAGTCGTGCGAGTAATAGTGCCTGTTTTAGCCAAACTTTGCTCGAGCCGTGTTATAAATAAATGTGTCCACCAATTGCTTGTTAATACTGAAGTTAATACTGAATTCCTTTTTCCATTCTTCAGGGAATTCCTCAGCTTACCTGAGCTTTAATATTAGCAAAGATTAGCCCTGTCCCGCTTGTTTCTGTTTGCCCTGGACGTTTATCCTGTAAGGTGGTTGTTTGGGGACTCGTGTCATTTCCTCTTTGGTGTCCTTTAGCCGCTCGTTGCTGAACGAACCCTTAATTGTTCCTGCTTTGTTTTGAGCCCAGGTGAACCCTGTGGCTTTGAGCTTTGCAGTATTCAGGCGCTGTTGTGGATATCACGTATCTGTAGAATGTAGATGGAAATGAACACTGGATTAACTAAAGTGTCCACAGCAGCTGCAGACTAGACACAGTGACACTTTTATTTCTGAGACTTCTCAACATATAACAACGGGTCTAATTTCTCTGTTTATTGCTCTCTGCTATAATAAGCTTTACGGAACTCTAAGAAAGTTTTTTTTTTTTAAGTACTCTTTGGATAAAATATGTTTTTTGTGCTTATTCAAGAAATGTTTCCGAGTTTAGTGGAAGTTAAAGGGATAGTTCACCCAAAAATGAAAAGTCACCCTCATGTTGTTCCACCCCATAAGACCTTCGTTCTTCTTCGGAACACAAATTAAGATCTTTTTGATGAAATCTGAGAGCTGGATCACTCCTCCATACTAGTCCATAGGCTTCTTGTGGAATTGAAACTTGCTGGCCTTAAAAAGTTATTAAAGACATCGTTAAAATAATCCAAGTGATTACAGTGGCTCACTATTGGCCGATGCTGGTCATGCGTGTGATGTACAACAACAGATCATACGCTGTTAAACTTGTAACCTGACTCGAGGCCAAGAGAGGACATGAATAGTTGAAATAAAGTCGGGTTTTTTTCGCACAAAAAGTGTTTTCGTCGTTTGATAAACATAAGATTGAGCCACTATAGTAGTCACTTGGACTATTTTAACGATGTCTTTAATAACTTTTCGAGGCCGGCAAGTTTCGATCCCTCAAGAAGCCTATGGACTAGTATGCAGCAGTGATCCAGCTCTCAGATTTCATCAAAAATATCTTAATTCGTGTTCCGAAGATGAACGAAGGTCTTATGGTGCGCTCAAGCCGGACGCGAATAGCGCGTCAGGCGTGAATGATTTCAATGTTAAGTCATTGCAAAGATGCGTTACGCGCGAAATGCGCGAATTACGTTACGTGTGAATGATTTAGTTAGTGCTATTTGTGCATTCACACGTTTGAATTCGCGCCTGCTGCCCGATTGAAAAAATCTGAACTTTGGCGTCAAATTCACGCCACGTTAACCAATCAAGAGCCTGCTGCTTGCTCACATGGTGAAGGATCTGGATGCTTCAATAAATTATTTTGTAATATGACTAAATGCGTTTGGTTCTAATGCACAAAAAAGCAAATATTTTATCACTCAAAACTTCATTTCAATATACAGTAGGACACATGTTAATTTTGTATTGAATGTTATTTATTCCATATCTAGATTATATGAAATAGTATTATGATGTAAAGACAACCAGCATACATGTGCATAAGTCCGTGTCTGGACGTGTGAGAGAAAAAAATCACAGGACAGGTTAATAACTTTTGGAGGCTGGCTCTATTTATCATCAAAACAAAAATAAATGACAGATTAGGTGGATGAGGGTGCGACAACAGGTCATCAAAATGGTAACATGACATCATGACTTTTGCGTAAACATACATGCCACTTTCGAGTCAAGTAGCGTGTTATCTCTACGCCTTCTGAGCTATCCGCGTGTATGCATGTATGTCTACGCCATTAATGTCCGAGTGATTCCGCGTGTCTGTACACGCCGTCAAATGTCCATGCGAAACGAAGCAAAATGTAGATCTACATCTGGGGAGCGATCTTTTTTTTTTCCTAGGATGGTAAGGGAACAGTCATAAATGCCATTAACCCCAGTGACGGGTAGGTTTAGGGACGGGGTTGAGGTAAGTCATATATTTATATATACAGTAATAACGTTAAGTCAATAGCGTTCATAAACACGCTGAAAAACGATTATGCGTGTTGATAGCACGCCAAAAATGGAAATACGAATTGGCGTGTCATATACACGCTACTTCATGAGATCAGTCTGAAACTGGGCGCGGGACAGGCGGAAGTACCGCTGACAGTGACCGTCATCCAGGCGAAGCTCCTGCAGCCAGCAAACGGTGAAACTCGCCAAACGGTTCGCCTCCGAAGGGTCCGATAGACACAAATATGGCGGCGATGATCCCCACGCTGCTGTTCTAGCTCTCCAGAGCAAATACAGAGCAGTGACTCTCTCGATGAATGCTTGGTCGACATAAAAAAATGACCGCCAACGGATTTCCATTCTGACGCGTGTAAATTTCGCTTCAATCTTTTGTTTTTACACACGTCAAGAGTGAAACTGATGCGTGTAAAAACAAAATTTTGAAGCGAAATTTACGTGCGAATTTATACAAAGTGGTCAAGCGTCAAACTAGACGCGGTAGACATGAATTTGACGCGCTATTCGCATCTGGTGTGAACGCAGCATTACAGGTTGGAACAACACGAGGGTGAGTAAATACTGACAGAATTTTCATTTTTGGGTGAACTATCCCTTTAAGCTTGTCTGTGACCAGTGTTAGGGAAAGTTCATTTTAAAAGTAATGTGATAGAATATTGGTTTTCTCCCTAAAAAAGTAGAATACTTAGTTACTTTTTATGGAAAGTAATGCGTTACGTTACTTTTGCGTTACTTTTTCTCACCTAATAACATAAAAAGGACACAGGAAAAGAAAGATCAACATTAATTCGGCAATAAAAAAATAAAAAGAAACAAATGTGATGCTTATCTATGTCATGTATGCTGATTGGCATGGTTGAATTGGATCATCAAAGGTCAGCATCAAAGGTTAATAAAGTGTGATTATATGCATAAAGTATATTTTTGGTATGTGTCATATTTAATTGTTAAAGGTTTACGTGTAATTCTGAGGTTGCATCTCACTGTTTTTATTCATTTTGAGGTATACTGAATACTGTGCAACTTGCAACCGATCCGCTAGATGTCGCTAAAAAATACACACTGCACCTTTAAACCAGATGCTAATACGCTTTGTTTGCTCATTTTGGTCTTGTGTTGGTCACATGTAAATGAACCGGCTGTCTTCTTTAATTTGCTCGTTGTGAGTAGCTAACACGTAAGACTTTCCACTTTTATGGAATAGTTTTTATGGAATTGTTTTTATGGAATTTTTCTGACGCTTATTTGCCCTGTTTAGTAAATCTGGCCCTTAGAACTACAATAAGTTAACACACAGCGCACACAACTCCTCTGCATATTATGTTGTAAATTGAAAAGTAATGCTCTACTCTACTAGCTACTCGAAATAAAGTGATCTGATAACATAGCTCACATTACTTGTAAAAGCGTTAATGTTTGTGATGTCGAGTACTACAGAAAATTATTTAGTTTTGTACCTCAGTTTGTAAAACAGCCACAACTGCATTGAAAAGAGAAGCCTATGTGGCGAGATATTCTGGAGTGTTTAAAAGCAGAAATGGGCAGTTTATATTTTTTGTGAAAAGACTTATATTAATTTTTCCAATTCAAATATGACCTAAATTGATCTTTTAGCAATGAGACTACTATTCTAGGCAGATTAGGTGTTACCTGTGTAATTCCCATGGGCCCCATTTTTCTTCTTTTGCGCATCAAAAGTTCTCGTCCGAAATTTTGCACGTTAAAAAATAGATGCGACCTCATGTTGTGTCAATCATGTTCATTTCAAGTGAACTCTTCGTTTTTTTTTTTTTTTTTGCATCAATAGCAAGCATTTTGAGAGGTGTTTTGACAATTCAGAGCCACCGAATGACAAAAAACACGCATACGAATTTTTCGGACAGTGTGCAATGACCTTTAGACTTTGCATGGTCATGACAGGAGTTGAACTTTAATGTAGCTTTGGGCAGACAAGGTTAGCTAGTAACAGTTTTAACAGTGTTATCCCAACACTGAATCTTCAGATTAATTCGATTCCTGACAAATCTAACAGTGGAGTTACTTCATTGCACAAGTATTCAGAAACATCAAATGCTTTACATTTTCTTCAGTCCAAGACGAATCAGTCATTGTCCAGACAGGGCCAAAGTACAAGCGG